TATTGATCAGAATCAAACACAATGGCAGATTATTAGCATCATATCAGCTCTGATGAACGGACTTCTGATTATAGTGCTGATCAGTGAGTTATTTTCAGACATCTGTAAAAAAATATTAATATAAAGTTTTTTATGAATTAAAGTAAAAGTAAAATAAGTCAATGCAGAATTTTGGCTACCATTGTTATTTTGATGTGAAATTTATATAAACATTTATATATACATCATTATAAGGAAGCAGTATACAACGTTTAGTGAAACTGAGTAAATCACTGTTCCTTTTACAGGACTATTAAACGTTTTTTGCATTTGGGAACAGAAGGTCTACAGTTGCACAAGTTGCAGAACAACATCAGGATCCACAGCAACAGGTAAATTATGTGAGTATCTTCTATAACATTTATTTTGCTTCAGAGACAACTGCTTCTGAAATGCTACATTTGTTGTCCTCATTTCTCTTTCAGCACGCTGAGGTGGATTTTTCCAAGCTCCATAGAAATATTCGGTCGAGCCAAATCAACAGCACATATGCTGCTCTAAAGCTGCCAAAACCATAAACACGTCTATCAGTCATACTCTTTTTGTACTTTCTTTATGTTAATATAAATCTGAAATGTCTAATAACAAGCTATTTGGTAGACAGATTTAACCAGCAAAACATTAACCAGTCTGTTTTTAAAGTGGGTTTAAATAAAAAAAAGCTGTAAATAAGCTTTTTTAAAATTAATTAAAAACATTTTCTTTGATTGAATGTGATAAAATGTATAATATTATTGCTTAATTCTGGGAAAAAGACTAAAAGACTAAATCATGAAATGAATCACAATTATGTTAATTGACAGCCATAGGTATCACAGATATGCACTCTTTTGTTGTGTGTTTCATTTTGTTTCTGTCTTCTGTTCTGGTTTAGGTCCTGTTTGCCCATATTTGGTTCTGTTCCTGTTGACATTAGTGCATTAGTTCATTAGTCAGTGTGCTGGAGCAGTGGGAGCGATCTCTCGAGGACCACACAAGACTCTTCCTGGAAGTAGCTAATTACACCAGGTCCGGACGAAGCCTGCAGAGTCTTCTGAGGTGTGTCCTCGAGAGAGTTTTTCCACCTTTGTGGAGGGGGTACTGGCGAGAAACGGATCTCTGTTCACCGTCGGAATTGAGGATGATCTCACCAGTCCCACTCCGGACCCAAAACCCAGCCCAGCATTACCTTACATCGCGAAGAGTCTGCCCTAGCCCACCACAGACGGAGAGCAAGAGAGAGTACAGGGGGAGTACTCCGGGCTCGAGAGTAATTACCGAGCTCAGAGCCCTCTCCCCGGACAGCACGCCAAATACGCATAACCTTTACTCTGTTCATTATATGTAAGTGGGAAGTCGTGAAGGGATGTTTTATTAACAAATTTCGGGAGGAGCACGCGCAGATAATTAACACGGCCAGTCCATCATCAGTAATTACACCATCTATCCAATCAGCTCAAGAGAGAACCTCTATAAATAATCAAAGCAGCCTTACCTCCATTATCTCTAGTCTTTCAGCATCCCTCCACCACCCCGACTCCTCACCTTCAGCCCGTTCCTACCCCAGCACGGGGAGGAACACTCGGGGGGAGTGCTCTGTGTCCGGGCTTAGACCCAAGCTTGGACCCCTTTCCCCTGGACAGGGGGAGTACCCCAGGCTCGAGAGCCCTCTCCCCGGACAGCATGCCAAATACGCATAACCTTTACTCTGTTCATTATATGTAAGTGTGATATCGTGAACCTAAAATCTGTGGGGATGATGACGCTGTGTTTTTATCTGCTCCATGTGTCCGGTCCATTTGCGGTTCCACAACTCCCACTCCATCATCAGCTTTAGTAAAATAAACTAGCTGTGGATTTTAGTGACTCGCTCCTCATTTTTTCTCACACTATTTTTAATATATATTTTTAGAATAGTTGACATTTTTACTTATCGAAGATTGTTCTTTGCATGACCATTTCTTGATTACACCAGAATGAAGTGAAGAGAGGTAAATGCAGATATTAGGCTCAGCGATCACCTGATAGATAGGCTGCGTGCACAGTTTGTTCAAAAGTAATATATATAATAAATGCATTTGATTGGTAAACCAAATTAAAATGTGACATTTTAATCTCTAATGGTAATGCATGGAATTTATGGGAAAACTCCACTAAATAATAGCGATAAAAAGTGAGGGGCGTGGTGGGGCTTTGGCGATCGGCGCTACCAATGTCTGTCAAGCTACTCCACAGCCAATCACGGGCCCCCTCCTCTCCCCGCCTAGCCCAATGGTTAATGCGGCCCTGCCTTTGACAGCACCATCTCCCAGCTGAAGGAGCTGAACACATTCTTCGCTCACTTTGAGGCACAAAACAGCACCACTGCACTGAAGACCCCACCTCCTCCTGGCGACCAGGTGTTGATGCTGTCCCCAGACAGCGTGAGGAGATCCTTCAGCAGGATCAACGCACACAAAGCTCCAGGTCCCAAAGAAGTCGTCGTCTCCCTACTGCTTCAGTGACTACCATCTGAATGTGGAGGAGAGTGCATACTCAGCATGCTCCTCTGACCATCAACAGTGCGACTGTGGAGAGAGAGTGAGCTGCACCAAGTTCCTGGGTGTGCACATCACAGAGGACCTCTCCTGGACTGACAACACCGCAGCACTGGCCAAGAAAGCACAGCAGCGTCTCTACTTCATTCGCAAACTGAGGAGAGCCAGAGCCCCGGCCCCCATCATGTGCACCTTCTACAGAGGTACCATCGAGAGCATTCTGTCGAGCTGCATCACTGTGTGGTATGGCGCCTGCAACGCATCCTGCAGCAAGACTCTATAACGCATAGTGAGAGCAGCT